TATATATATCTAATATATATCATTAAATATAATTTTTAGCAAAATTAATATTGTTATTAAACGTTAAATGTCAAATCAATATTGTCTGTTAATAATATATCCTTCATTTTCCCGCAATGTAGAAAAAAATGTCCTTATCTAATAATATCTTCTGTATTTTTTATTTATAATTCCTAATTATACTGAATGTTTTTGATAAGTAACGATAAAACTCTCGCATAGGGATAGAACGGACTAAACTGAATCGAAAAGTCTTCTACCATTTTGCAATTTTTTGCAATAATTAACAAGATATCAATTAAAAATCACCAAATATTGATTTTTAATACTTTTTTACTCAAGTGCTATCAATTTTGCAGAAAAACAGCAGACAAAAATTGTTTATTTTCTTCTCATAGAGCTCTAAGAATTTTTTCAGAATTTTTTATTAATTTTTTAGTTCTGCATTTTCTTATATAGGGTGTCTCAGACCACACGTACACCTCTTTTATATCGGAAACAAAGCATTTTAGAAAAAACCGTTTCAGACAAAAGTTGTGGCATTCTAAATGATTTTATCATTATTTATCAAACACCCTGTATATATATCTTCAAGCAATTAATGCTTATAATAATTGACTGAATAATCCAACACTACCTAGATTTATTACTATAACAGATATTAGACACAAATCTAGATAAAAACAAAGAAATCAATTAAACACAGCTAAAAGCGAGTTAAATTGTTGGAGCTTGCTTATCATCAGATTGGTAAACTGGTAACATGTATGTTAAATTTCTTTTTATATGTTTTACTCTGCAAAGGAATATTAGAAGAAAACTAGAACACGTTGCATAAATTTAAGCTACTAAAAACTTGAAAGATTAAAGTAAAACACGTGTTACTTATATATATATATAGATAGATAGATAGCAAAAACTTTCGTTGCCCTAGTTTTCGACACAAACTGTTATAATAAGCGGCTGACGAAGCTTGAAAAATACGCCGTCGAGTCATTAATCAAATCTGCAACGTAAATAAGTGGCCGGACTGAATGTATAAACGATAGAGCACTCACGACAATTCGAATACGTATGTTCACCTGAATCGCAGATAACAGATTGAAAGGTTGACTGCTTGATGAGCCCCGATCGGATAATAAAACTCTTCATTCTCTATCTAGCTGGAGCTAGATGCAGAGGTGTTAATTAAGGTTAATTAGCATCACCTGTTTTTTAATGACAAGTGCAGTTAAACATTGTTCACATTTTGACGTTGCAGGATTGTGATGCAAACGATACGCAATGATGTATATGATTTGAGAAAAATTTTGTGGTAGTCTTGAAAATTTAATAAAAAGAGTAAAGGAAGTAATAAAGTTTTTTTACTTGTTTCTTTTTTCTCGCAAGATTCAAAGAGGATAAGAATCATTTCTACTCATGCTTTTATAAAATTATAAAAGTAATACATTTATATTTAAATTTGTGAAAAAAAAAGAGAAATATTTAATTTTTTTTTCTCAAATCAAAATCAAATTCGGCTGTAGAACCATATAAAAAAAATTTTGTTAGAAGGCTTCGATCATCGATGTTTTTTAATTCGGAAATTCAACTGTTAATTAATATCATCTTTGCTTTTTCATGGAAAGTTAATATTTATCATTCGATAATGTTGCTTATGACAATGCGGCGCAGACGATATGCAATATACATGCGATTTGAAAAAAACTTTGTGAGATCAAGTCTTGGAATAAAGCGAGAAAAATCATTTCGCTTCATGCTCTAATAAAATTACAAAAGTAATACATTTATATTTAAAATTCTGAGAAAAAAGGAAAGAGAAAAATATTTAAATTTTTTTCCTCCAAATTAAAATCATTTTTGAGAAACAAATGGCTACAAATAACCGTAGAACTGTAGGAAATTTTGTTAGAGTTAGAAAGTTTTTGTGATCGATGATTTTGAATTCTAAAACTTAACTGCTTTCCTTAAATCTTATGCAGAATCACGTCCATCGGCGTCGGAGAATTCAAAGTGACTACTTTTGCTGGGCTTCTTGCGCTTCGTGCAATAACGTATGTTGTATACGCAAGAATTTATGCGCGCACGTGTGTGTTCTTGTTTAAATAAACCGCACATTTTCATAAATATTCTCTCGTCATCTCACAGCCTACGTTCGACAACGATCGTGAATCTCACAGGTCAAATATTGACTCGGTTCGCGCTCATGCAGCTCAGCCTTCTATTGCTACACGCGACGGGTACACACCATCTATATTTCTCTACCTCCTCACGGCTAATTAATTCGTTAATTAAATAACCGATTATTGCCGACTTGCAAAGTCGCGTACGCTTCGTTCTACAAATAGATTATACAATATATTATTTTACTTCTTTTGTATACAAATTCGATTTTTCATCTTTCTTATAATCGGAAATTTTTCAGCTCGGTTAGTCTTCAGATATTTCTCTCATCTTTAAAATACGAAGAAACGATTATGTATAAAATGAATGTACATCATAATTATCTAGAAAGTTCCAATATTTGTATGTTCGCCGTTTGCATTTGGAATTAATAAATGCATTTAAAACATTAGAGAGATAAGAGTGCATTTAAATAGAGAAACCGTTTGCAATCGCTTTAATTTTCTTATTTGTAAGACAAAAGGTGTGTTCGAGGAGACGTTACTGGCGCTATTTAGTCAGTCTATCTTTATCGTTTACTAGACGTAAAACAAAGATAGAATAACACAAATAGCATTAATAGTGTCTGTCCGAACGCATCTATAGATTGATCATATATAAATCACTTCACTAAAAGTATTCACAAAATTTGCATTATTCTAATTACTAATATATGATGCAACACGATGCTTTATGCCTCATATGATGGCTTCATTGTAAAAATCACGTACCGTTATAACAGCCACACAAATAATTTTCTTTAATTTTGTCCTGTTTAAAATTGTCTGTACACCTATTCGTTTTTTTTAAGCACTGGTGAATTATAGAAACTCCGATTTGTTCGATACACACGCGTGTATACACGATCGAATATGCTCGAACATATTCCCGTTCCCGTAATATGGGCAAGACCTGATAGTGAGATAAGCTTTGATAAGATTAACGCCTTTCTGATGCCTATCCAACAAATAAAATCGCCATCTTGCAAAAGCGTATGTGTATTCAGGATTATAATTTTATATTTGCAAATAAGGCTTATTATTATTTGACTTAATAAAATATATTCACTCGCAAAAAATACGGGTCATTGTATCGATGGTTTATATTTTTTGCGGGTGAGTATATATTACAATATTAAATCATAAATATACGTACATATTATATCAATGTGTTTATTTAAAAATACTGGTTGGTTTCAATAAATTTATTTCTTCTAACATTCCTTTAATAATTTATTTGCGTCGTAGTTTTTCTGTGTTTTTATTTGCGTAAATTTTTCTATGTACAAGGTAACATGAAGATATGAAAAAGCATCAGAGACCTCTTTTATAGTATGGATGTCAATTTGTTATATCAATCTGCAAAAAGAAAGAACAAGAAATTATATTAGAATATTTATTAAATTTGACACTTCGGCGAAAGAATTTTTCTATTATTATACATTATTCATAATTCTTTATATACATTATATATTAATTGCAACTTATGCCTCATTTATAACGCGATAAGAATAATTACAAATGAAGACAATTCATTATTCTGGAAAATACACACAGGTGGACATCAAATGTGCAACATGAATGAGATGTATCATTTTTCGCAAATTTTTCATTTCTAAATTCAAATCCGACAGCGAGATTTTTATATCCCATCAGATTCATCTACAATGTTGTTTAAAAAATGGCTAAAAACGCGTTTTTTTATACTTTTGATTTCAATTCGGAAAAATCTGATGTGATACAAAAATTTCGCTGCTAGATTTAAATTCATGAAAAAACTACAAAAAATTATACATTACATTTATATTGCATATCTAATGTCTATCTGTATATATTTACAAAAATACGTTGTATTATCCAAATGGAAATACAAACAGAATAAAGATCATTTCTCTAAATTTGTAGTAAATAAAATCTTCGAATTACTTCACTGCACTAGTATCAACAATATATTATTTTTATACAATAACAATATTTTTTTTTTACAAAGTAAAAAATTTATATGGTAACTCATAAATTTTGACAAAAAAAAATTATCACATTATTCAATTATAACATTTAATATACAAAACAGATGATATTCTTATTATATATTTTACATCTGATAAATCTTACCTATAATGTGTAAAATTGATAACAAATTACATAAATTAAATAAAATCTGTTATCACGCACACGCACACGCACAC